CTTTTCACATGGGACAGTGGGCTTGCAGGGAGGAAATAACTCCTCGTGCCATTTGCACTGCTTCCAGGTGCTTGTGCTGGCATTATATCTTGTCATTAGAGGATGCTGAGGACACAACCATCACGTGTCCCTGTCAAAGTGACAGCTCAGGACAGCCTGCAGGCTGAGAGCAGCTCCTCAGGGGCAGCTCATAAATCATGGGGATGTAACCCTTCACATCTGATAACCCAGCACAGCTGAGGCCATCCCTGCTGTGGCAGTGCAGCCTTTCCCAGCAGCTCTGTAATTCCGTCAGCATGTCAGGCAGGACGTGGGAATAAGGTGTTCAGCTGATGAGAATCAACACAAGCACTGCTGTCTTTAACAGGAAGGCAGATGAAGTCCCAAGTAAACTTCAGCATCAAATCCCTGAGCACACAGTCACAGCTGTGGCTGGCAATAAAAGCTGTAAAGCACTCATGACAGCCAGGGGATCTGCAGCTGCTTGCCTGGGGAACACCAGGGACTCATTCCTGCAGCTCCCTTGAAAGGAAGTGACGGGCAACAGGCAAGCAAACATTTCCCATTTTATCCCTACAGTAAAAAGAGCCTCTCCCAATTAAATTTTCTCATTTCAGCCATTAGCAGTCAAATCCCAGACTGTATGCCACTGTAGATGTGCTGGGGCAAAGGTGAGAACGTGAAATGCATTTCCAGTTTATTGCCATTGCAATTTCTCCTCTTGACAGTTTTACAGCCACAAATAGAAACACTGCGTGCAAACTCAAGAGCTATGAGCTCATACAACCCACACCAGAGAACTGCCACTGGAAGGATGCTTTGCCTGCAAAAAGATGGTATTCTTTAACTATAATCTCTTCAGGAAAAATATAGCCAGGCAAACAGAAGGAAGCACACCCAAAGAGCCACTGCAAACATAACACAATAATTAACAACTTCCTCTTTGGGAATTGATTCTCTCTTCAAAAAGCACAATCAATAGGACCTGTCTCCCTGGTACAGAGGGCTCTAGAAATGTAGATCAATTAAATGCAGCATGGACAGAAATGCTTGCAATGCAATTTCAAGGCTGTATTTGATCAATAAACATCTCAAGAGCTCAGAGGAGCCTCCACAGCTCTGGCAGAGCGGGGCACTCCCAGCAAGAGCACATGAGCTAATGCCTTACAGACCCTGCTCTCCTGAGCAATGCTCAGGGCAGCAGCTGCCATTTCCCTTCTCATTAAGGAACAAACCCTACAGAAGCCTGAGCTGCTTGGTCCTGCCTAAGGAACAATCCCAAGCTCTGCACGTAGCACAGCACATGGGGACCACCTGATCCCTTAAATGCATGAAATTTAGTGAAAAACACAACTACACGTTTTGACAAGCTTATAAGATCCAGGTTGCTTCCAGTATTGAAAGGAGGGACAATATTTTGCCATTTTGAAGACTATTAAGTAGCACTTCAATAACAAGATTTTCCTTTTTAACAGGCCTGGTTGCAAACTGACACATTAAATTAATAAATTTCTGCTGTTGTTCAAATGGTATTTCAGCAGCTGCCTGAGAAATACATCTGTGAATCTCAGAAATAAGACCCTAGTGACTAGAGATGGATATTACTGAGTCTTTACAGAATTTTTTAAAGATCTTTTCAGAAACAAAAGTTGATTTTGTATCAAAGAGGGAAAACCAATAAAGCTGATAACTTTGCCTTCACCCCTGACGGCAACAAGCAGCAGTGAACCCCTATGGGGATTCACCTGAGGGAGTAGCTATAATGTCAATGTCTGACTAACACAAAAATCTCACTGCCACTTTGATTTGCAGCATTTCCCAGGTGATGATCTCAAACATTTTTGATGCTAATTGAACAAGATAGGTCCAAGCCTATTGGCCATGCAATGAAGTTGCTTGTTCTAATTAAAAAAAACAAAGGCAGATGCTTTCCTTGTACGTTCATTTCTGAAACAGTACCAGCCTCACCTCTCAAAGGTGAAAGCAGAAAAGGGGCTGGGCTTTTTCAAGGCTTCCCAGACACAGATGTGAGCACATTCACCTCTGCATGTACAGCAATGCTCCAACACAAGTCTTATCTAACCCTTACACCTGACCAGGAAATAAAGGCAGGAATAGCATTTCTTTTATACATATTTCTCCCTCTCCAGGCTTTTTCTAGCCACATTAGCAGCTCATTTTCCACTTCTTGAAAGAAAGCAAGATTAAAAAAAATCCAAACCAAACAAAAAACCTCAGCAGTTTGGTTTTTAATTTGTTTCCAGAAATCTGTGCATCTGAAATTTTATGTTTGTCCTCTTCCTGCTTTCTCCTTCTAGTTCAACTCAGTAACATTATGTATTAAACACAATGATCTCAAAGATCAAGATATTTCCAATACATCTCAAGATGATAATGCTAATTAAAGTTGATCAAAAGACTTTGTTTGAGACACAGGAAAATCAGACTGAACAGTGACAAGATGCTTTATAATTGCATTTTATTTGGATCACAAGGGCCACATGTATGGCATTATTCAGTCATTAGCATTGCTTCACTGCTGGTATTTTTTGCTCCATCTTGAAATTAGAATCAAGCACTATACAAAAGTAATTAAAAGGGACTAAACCTCATGTCTCCAATTAAGAAAAAGTAGTTTTTAAAGTGAGATTGGAAATACAGGTTATACAAACACTCTTCAGGGATAACACAGTTCATATTTATTTTAACTCACAGCAGCAATTATCAACCAGATTCTTTGCAAGTCCTTCTCAGTCTATAGAATATGAATAAAATTATCAGAGAGTTCATTTTCAAAAAGCTGTGCAGAAGCAGCAAGTCTTACCATGGACAAGGGAAGTTGCTTGTGGTATCCCCAAGGATGAGATTGAAAAAAAAAAAAAAAAAGTACAGGAATAGTTTTGGAAAGAGATAAAGATGAAAAGAGACAAATTAGCTGTAATAAGGTGAACAGAACACACACATTTAAAAGGAAAATAGAAATTATAAATTTGTTTGGAAGCAGAAGTAGTTTGAGGAAGAAGAGATGAGTCATCCTCAAAAGAGCCATAGAAACACGGACTCCATGGGACCAGATATACTAAATATCATGGAATCCAGTGAATCAGGGAGGGAAGGAAGTTAAAGATGTCTCAACTAGACTTCACTGAGTTTAGTTAAAGATGAAAGTGCAAATTTCATACATGGAAGACAGAAAGAATTTGGTCAGTGAAATCATGAGGGGGGGAGAGAAAGAAGATACAATTCTGTATGCTGAAGAACAGAAAATTTGGCACAAAAAAATGAAAAATTGTTTTTGAAGAATATGAGTCTGAAAGCAGCTGACATCCTGCTGCTCAATCCTTCTGCAGGTGCCACCAGACAAAATCCCGAGGAGCACAGCTGGAGGCAGCAGTTACTTGTATTGACCCAGAAGTTTATTTGTACCATCTGCTACAGAAATATCAGTCAAGGGGAGCAAGGCAGGCACCTGGGGGTATCCACACAGAGAAATCACTCAGAAGAAGAAAGAAACTTCAGCAGGGGAAAAGGAATCTGTCAAAAATGAATAGGCGATGCTGTCAAAAGGAGCAAGGCTCTTGAGAAGGACCATCAGCTGGCCCAGAGCAGCCAGCCTGAGCTTCAGTGAACATCCTGAGCAGCCCTGCAGTCAGCTTGGCCCCTCTGCTTTCACACTTAGGTGTCTGAGGAGTGGCCTGATTTTCAAGCTAACAGCAGATTTCCAGGGCTTTCAGTAGCACGAATGGTTGGTGAAAAGTACAAGCAGTTTGCATCCCCTAAATAAACTGTCCATCCAACAGAACAAGTCCTACAAATGGCTGAAATCAGGACATCTCCTTCTTCAGAAATTCCCAGCAGGAATGGCAGGATCCAGCTGTCTATCTCTAATGCATAATGCAGCTGTCACCCAGGAAATGGGACCTGCCCAGGCTGGGTCAGAGGAGGAGCTGCAGTCTGGCAGCCCTGGGCAAGGCTGGTCTCATTCAATGCCACACATCTGGCCTGGCATGGCACAAACCAGGCTGGGCAGTGCCAGCTGAGAATGCCTGCAGAAACCAGGGCACACTGAGCCCAGGCAGCAGCAAGGAGACAGAAGAGAAGGAAACACCTGGAAGGATAGCTTTTTAAAGGAGTCTTCATTCTAAGGAAAGATTTCAGGATTTCAAGGTGTTTTGCTTAATTAATACATTATACTCCCACACAGGTTTGGCAGAAGAGGAGTAAAAATTAAAAGGATAAATAGTTCCCCAAAAAGGATCAAGACAGGGTATTTTAGTATAGGAAGAAACATGTCCTGTGTTCACCATAAATAAGGAGAGATGTTCCTTGAAACAGCCCCTAGAGTACATAAACCCACTAAAGTAACTTCTCACCTCAAAACAAAACCTAAAAAGCCTATATTGAGAAATTAATATTATTACTGTATCATTAACAAATATAATCATGTTGCTATCAAGCCTAAATGTTTGGAGCTAGCAGATTCCTGTCACCCAGATGAATAATGATATGAGCAATGAGTCACTCTCATACCTTTGGAGGATTAAGAATGGAAATTTGTCTCTTTGTCCAACCAGGCAGATTGGGCTACTTCAGACAGAAAAGGATGGCACTCAAGACTAAATTCTCAGATCTTAAGAAAGAAGGACAATAATATTTACCAGAATATTTACCAAGATTGTCAGAAGCAGGATTAGGCAGCACTGCAAAGATAACAAGAGACTGTACGGTCTTCAAACTCAAGAAACATTAATTCTGCCCTTTGAAACTACTTCTCACAGGACATTGAAACTACCATGTAATTTTAAAACAACCATTGAAATCACAGCCAATAATTCTCCTTTTTGATAACTGTACAGTGCAGTTGGGGGGAAAAAAAGCCCCCTGTACTACACAGCAGCCTGCCATCAGTCTGTCCAGTACCACAGAAAATACAGACCAATAGTTCTCTGTTTCTGAAAAGTTTACAGCATTCTTTAAAAACCATGGGAAAAAAAACTCACCCAGTTTTCAAGCTGACCAAGGCATCCTCAACTCCTTTCTGGTTAAACTTGGTCATGTAGAGGTGCATGTCAGGGTAGTTGTTCCGGATATTCCTCTCTGTGCTTCCATTTGGGACCGTCCCAAACCGAAAAGGAGGTGAATAATCATGAGGCCTTTGAAACTAGAGGTAAATGGAATAAACAAAGTGTTTCAGGCATCCAAAATGTGAAGAAGGGCAATTTCAGCTTTAAAAAGACAGAAGTTGTGTAAATTGCCTCAAATTTCTTTTAGGCAAATGCTGTGGGTCACTTCAGGTCTATTATACCAGAAAATGTCTTCACACTAACTGAACATCATCTACATCCAAGGTAAAACCAGCTCCATTTTGCCCCTCAAATGTGACTCTCTCCCATGATTTGCACTTTGACAGGTCAACAGAAACTGGAGCAGATCCTCATCTGCCAACATCTCATCTCTCTAGGGGACCCAAGCACACTGGCAAACTGCAACCAAAGAAAAGAGTATTTTGTTGATAGTAATTTCATACTTCCATCTCAGTTGGGACATTGTGATTCCCCATCAGGAAGATGGGAACAGGATCATCCACAGTCCTCAACAGGGAGCCCCAGTCCTGGAGAGTGCCAGGGATGGCAGGAAGCTGTGCCAGGGAGAGGCAGAGTGAGGGAGTTTCCTTCCACCCATGACTGCAGGGCAATAAAAGCTCCTGCAGCTCCCACAGGGGCTCAGTAACTCATAGGGTGATATGAGAAGGGCTTGTGGAGCTCCCACACCTGTAATCCTAGTCCCTGTTCAACCCCCCTGTTTAAAACTATGAACCATTTGCTTGAGGACATACAGGTTTGTTCCACAATTTTACTCTCTCCATCATTATTGCATTAGCACAAGATGAACCAGCCAGGGGGCATCTGCAAAGGAATGGCAATAGCTCAGGGCAAATTCAGGTTTCACTTGGCAATCCTTCAAATAATCCCACATAAATTTTTTGCTAACAGATCTGAAAATTTTATATGCACCTTTTCAACATCTTCCTTTAAAACCCAAGTGACAATTTAGGATGAAAATGTCTCTTTAAGAAATAAATGAAAAAGGTCACTCAGATTAGAGGAACTATTGGCTAATGAGGAAATGGAATTGAGCATTGATGAAAGCAGTCACCCATGAATTCCACTCTAAATGCACTCTGTTTTTATTGCTGAAGTTAGAAGAGCAATCTATATATCCTGTGCTGCAAGAGATCCCTAATATTTATACAGCTGCTGATTCCTTTGGGGCTCCACATGAAATATTTCAATTTTTAACATTTGGTCTCAGGGCATCAAGAATTCCCAAGATCCAGTGCCAGTTTGCAAAGAGAATACAAATGGGTTTATACAAAAACTGGGAGTATTTTCAATTCCATCAAACCTTGACTGTGAAATTATTGCTGCAACACCATTTTCTTGTTACAGAACTACAATTAAATACTTCATTTTAATTAAGCATATTTTGACAAAGCATAAAGGAATGAACTCTATTTTTCTCTATTTGTTTAGCTAACAGATGTCTTACTTTCCTCATTTTCCCTTTTCAGAGCTTTACTGTTTAAATTATAACTTTGCTACTACTTTTACACATAGTAATTGACCCCTGCACCAAAATTACACTGTACACTACTCATGATTCGTAGTCTATATTTGCTATCTCCCTTTCTGAGTTTATTATGCAGCACTAAAACAAACCCTGCTTTTAAATATATGTCCAGAGATTCTACTGATATAAATGTAGCTTGCTATGAACTTTATTTAAATCTAGAGATAATGTGTCTCTGATGTATTGAGATGGCTTCATGTGTCTCCTAAATTTACCAGTCAATAGAACTGGAAAAAATAGAACTGCCAATTTCAGGACCTGTAAGACTTGCTGCTCCTTATATTGCTGGGATTTTTTGGAAATTCATCTGTGGTGAGCATTCTGCAAGCTCAGTTCCCAGTATGGCAGGGGAACTGGGGGGGAATTGGGGGAACAGGGGCTTTATTGTGGAATATTCTGGTGATTTCAAAATGGAGTTTGTTTTTAAATAGTCTCACTTCTCAAAAACGTTCATATTAATCTAGGATGTTGGCAGGCATTTCCTCTCACAGGAATAGTTGAAAGAATTAACACATCTGTTCAAATTGAACTTTCATGGAAGACAAAAATATTTCTGCAGAATACAAGGATGAATAAAAAGCCCAAGTTCATTCAAAAGTCACAGAGTTAAAAAGCAGATTAATAGTTCCAAACCCCATCTACAGCCTGGAATTTCTTGGCACCAACCAACAAATTTTATCACTCACGAGGAGATTATTTTTGAAACCATCATCTGCTACTATACTGCCTGCTCACAGACTGCTTGTAAAGAAGAAAGAGGTTTCAATCTTTTATCCAACACTGCACTCATATCTGAGATGAATAAAGTTTTCATCAATAATATTAAACTTATATTCTGTGAACTGCCACGTCCTGGAGAAGCACACAGGACTGTCACTGTCTGTGACTGCAGCAAAGATCCATGTGGCAGGCAAGAGACAAGAAAAGAAAAAAAAAATCAAGGCTCTATATGCATTCATTTTCCCTAAAGCCCCGTGACAAGAAACAAAATATGTCATGTTTGCTAGGAAATCATTTTCTTCCTAGACATTTCATGAAATACTGATCTTTTAAATCAGGAATCATGGACAGAATTCTTGAGCAGACTGCACAAGGCCCTGGTTTGAGTCATAGTGGAGAGATCTACTGTTACTCTGAAGAGTGACCAATTCATTCTTGTCTCCCCCTGCTCTGTCACCCTACAGAACTGTGGCAGATGGCAACACAACTCCAGCATTTTGCTTTTATTTTGTTTTTTCTATATGCCTTAATAAAACTGGCAATTTCATTAACTCAGCTAAGTCGTCTGCCAGAATCATTACATACTGACTTAATTTAAAGATTTACTTGCTTGCCTGAAAAGAATGGTGTTGAGAGCAGCTGTTTGTAATTGTTCTGGAGTTTTTTAGGGGAACTGTGGGAAATGCCACTAAAATACTAGCAAACAGTAAATAATCTCCTGCCTGTCAGTGGCATCACTAAGGTTTCCTGTTAAAGCTGAAGAGAAGCTCCTGGGCCATGTGTATGTGTGGCAGAACCCCAGCAGAACAGCACCCTGTGAGACAGCTCTGTGCACAGACACCTACCCTCCTCCAGCAAGTTTATTGTTTCACTGCATGAAATAGGCACAAAAGGTCTCAAAAGTACAAAAGCCATGAATTCCAGTCTTTGCTGGATACTTTGGACTCATTTTCTGTACCTTTTGATGAAGACAAAGCTTTTGAACATCTATTACATACACAAGAATGTCAAAATATAATTTTCCTCTCTTTTGCTGAATCATTTGAGTTTATGAACACCCACCCCTCCTAACTCCAGAACAGGCTGTGCCATGGATTTCTGGGTGACACTCTGATGACGTGGCATTCACAAATTCATTAGCAACATTGCAAGGGATGAGGAAACTGTAAAGAGGTCTTAGAGCATCAAGGGGTAAATAACACATTAGCATCATGTCAGCAAATCTGGTGAACCAGCTGATGGAGTGCAACAAAATTCCTGAATGGGACAACACTGAGTGCTGAGGGTCAGGGGTGGCTGCTCAGAGAGCGGCAGTTTTCCTGATTTTTCCTGATTCTTCCTGATTTTTCCATCACACCCCAGTATCTCTAACTGGAAACACTTTGTGGCACTGACAGTACAGCACTGACAGAAGAGCTTGACTCTCTAGGTATGGCAATGGGAAAAGTGGGAGAGAAGAATAATTTACCAGCCCAGAAGTGGGGTTTGGGTTTCTTAATTTTTGTAAAAAATTTAATGAACTTTTAGGTATTAATTATTCAAATTTGATTATACCCACATTTCTGGTCCTTTCCTGTGACAGCTTTGCTTCCTGCAAGGGTCAGAGTTCTGTACTGAACTGTTAAACATGGCAAAGATGGGAGAAAAATAATTTAACATCAATCAGATACATTCCCATAAATTACTCAAATTATTTGGTTTTTTAAAATTCAAGAAACCTCAGGATTCTGGAGGAGGCAACAACCTATATATGACAAGAAGAATGTTCTGAAATAGTTCATTGTTCTTCTGGAGTTCTAACCTTTTTAATTTAATCAGAAAAGGCATGGCTTCCCTGCCTTATATCTACATGCTTCAGGCAAAGTTTGAAGAACCAAAAAATAGAAACAAAGGTGGCAGATCAAATAAATGATCAGCAGACCACACAAGAACAGATGGTATTTTCTGATTCAAGTATTTTTCTATTTTTATTTTGCTTTTTTGTGGAAACGAAATCCTACTTAGCAGTCAGAACAGAAAAAGTGACAAACGTGAGGAAGTTATCAGCCAAAAGCCCCAGAAGAGGAGCTGACATTTCCAGGCCTTGGGGAAGGTGAGGGTCAGTCACACCTGAGCCAGGTGAAGGCAGAGCCTGCCAGGACCCAGGACAATGCTCTGCTCTTTCTCACCAACAGCACAAAGACATCAAATCTTCTTCTTTTTATCCCCAAGAAAGAATGCCAATTATCTGCCTCTTCTCAGAATATTATCTTAAAATAGAGGGATATTTAACAATCTTCATGCTCTTTCAAAGGCTGTATGGCAACACAATTAAATTAAAACAAAACTATTATCATTTTTGGTTTCTTTTTATGTTTCCTCTAGCCATGCTTGCTTTGATATACCAGGCAATCAATCAAAGGCTGGTCATAAAAAGAAGTCAAAACAATAAGAAACAGATAAGGCTGAGATGTTGCCTTTTTGGTTTGTTTTTAGTAACATTTTCCTTTATTTTCTGTCCTTTGTGAAGTTGTTCCCTGGGCTATACTGTTTTTAAATATTTCTTCTTAATGTCAATATTTAGTTTCATTTTCAAACAACTGGGCACAGTTTTAACAAAAGCATGCCCTTCAGGTATCTTGTGCATATCCATCACAATAATTTTGCAAATGGACTTTTTTCTATTAATATACTACTAATATCCCACAAAATTTTTCAAGCTTTTTATTTTGGTGAGGCATTAATTTTAACTAAGCACTAACTGATTTCTATCATAAAATAAAGGTAATTTTCAATTAATGCAGCTACTTTTGAATAGGCTATGCAGAGATTTTAAAAATAGATTTTAAAAATATTTTCATGCTTTGGGTCTTAGGTTTGTTAGTAAAGCTTGCACTTGCACTCAGAAGGAAATCATCCAGTTTTAGTTCATTATCTTGCTCAGAGTTTTTATCAGGAAGTACAAATTTGTAGAAGGATTATGGAGAATGCAGACTGACATCTTTTGAGCTGAATACCCACCTTTTTATCACTCAGCCCAGTCACTTGGTCAACAAATTCCTCTTGAATCATAAAGGCAGCTAAGTTGGCAGTGTAGCTGGCCAGGAAGATGACAGCAAAGAAAGCCCAGACTGACACCATGATCTTGCTCGTGGTGCCCTTGGGGTTCTGCACAGGCACAGAGTTGTTGAAGACCAAGCCCCACAGTAACCACACTGCCTTTCCAATGGTGAAGGATGGCCCATGGGGATCTGAAAATTCAAACAGCACTAAAATTAATCCTTGCCAATGTACCATGAAGGGAAAACCCATTAGTCCCAGAGACATGGTTAGAAAATATTTTGGTATATATATATTCACTGTACTCCAAATATACTCACAGGATTTACCATAGGTACCCTCCATTAGAAGTTCCACATTTTTAAAGCATAATTCAACATTTTTCTATGTGGCATATGGTTCAAAATTCTTATGATGAAAATGGAAAGGATAGGTTTGGAGGAGAAGCAGGCTGGTGTGTCTCCTGAAGGAAGAAATGTGCCACAGTGTTGCCCTGTCAGTTTTCTGTGCCAGCAAACATGTGAAATGGAAAACTGGAGGTTTAAGTCTTAATGATTCAATTCTAGTACTTTTCTTACCCAAATTATTTTTATCATCTCCAGTCATCCAACATTATGCTTTTTGAACATTATGTAAGCATTTTTAAGATCAAAGTGTGTGAATGTGTCACCTACTTTTAAGCACCTTTGTACTCAGAGCATGAATCAGAAAGACAGAACAAAGGAGCTACCTCTGTAGACAGGGAATTCAGAGCAAGCCAGGCTCTGGCTGCCTCACATGTTCAGAGGCAGTTCTGTGGCTCCAAATGTGTTGACATTACAGGTAAAACTCTGTCCCAGCTAAGCCATTCTGTAATTTTTGTTATTTCTATTTTGGGTTACCTTTTAGTTCACCCAAAGGTGGGAGGGGGCAGCAGTGAATTACCAATGGCATTATCCACTCCAAAGGCCCCATTTATGGAGCCCTGGGAGAACCAAGGGCAGTTATTCTCACCCAGCTCTAGGTAAGCACAGTGCAATCACACATTGCTCATCATCCAGGCTCCCTGCACCCTCAGTGCAGAGAAACAGACCTCCCCTGACTGTGACTCATTTGGCCTACTTATAATTATCCTTTTTTCAGTTCAATTGCAATTTAGTCAATAAGCTCTGATGCAGAAATCTGTAACTTTATCTCCTTCCCTGCCTTGTCCCTTTATCCAAGGGGATGCACATTAGAAATATAGATTTAGTTATTCATTTAAACTATAATTTATTTTAATAATAATTCAACTATTCTTAAAATAACGAAACCCTAAGTGGGTATACTCAGTGCATATTCTCATTTCAGTAGAAATGCTCTCTAGTGCAGTGCAAATATTTCACAATGCAGCCAAAATCTACATCTCAGATTATGCTCCTGTTCTGCAGCAGCACTAGGAAAACAGAGTGCAGTAAAATAAACACAATGGAGCTGACTGAAGGTAGTTTATGCAACTACCTTCTAGACATATTAAGGACTGAACTGATACAGGGATAATGTGCATTTTTTGAGCAACAGTGTTACAGAAATTATATGCCAAGGGAGGAAACTTGTGGCAAGTCTTTAGAGGTAAATTGGGATGGTCTAGTGCCATAATGTGTCTTTGTAGCTGTATGTGCACTAAATAATCAATTCAGGCACAGAATAGAACAGCCAAGCCCCTGGATCCCCAGTGTCTATATTCACCTTTGACTTCTCTTTTAACACACTGTTTATTTCAGACAGAGGTTACACATTTACCATCTTATTAAAATGATAACATCATCTGAACATTACAATAATCCACTTTTTCAGGGAACAAGCCAGCCATTGTCTAGAATAAATCATTTGCTTTTAATAGTGCCCAGAACTGTGTTCACCAAGCTGGAAGATCTCTTGTTATGAAACAAGGCAGGAATGATTTAGAAATTTTGACAAAGGCTGCACTCTGAAATGTCACTGAAGAAATGGGAAGATGAGGGCATGGTGAGATATGGAATCCTCACTCTTGAGTCAAAGTGCAGCTTTCTCTGAGAAAGAGTTAATGCAAAGCTTGTCTGTTTTGCAAATGAAGTTTCTATAACTGAGGGTGCTGCACAGAAAGGAGAGATGCCCTTCTACCAGGGGCCTCATTTCAAGGCTAAGGGTTCTGATATTTACAGGGACTATACAGAATTCTGGACAATGTTACTGCTATTTTTCAAACTGCCCAGCACACCAGAGGATTTTAGGTAACTTTCTCTGAACTGGTCATCAATTTGTAATAGCCAGGAGTGGAACATATTTCACTGCTGACACTTTATGACTGATGCCAGGTACTAACCAAACACTGCCTGAATAAAACTCTGATACCACTTACCCTGCTCCCTGTCTTTATCCCATTGAGTTGGAATTATAAACATGAGCATAATCAGCCTTCAAGAAATGATACTTTAAATGAAGAACATAAACAGTTTAATAGCTAATTGCATTATTTTATTCCTATGTTATGTTTATTTGAAAAGATGGAGAACCCAGGGATGGGAAATACGTGATTTTTTAATAAACATGGAGTTGAGTAAAATGCAAATCTTACCTCTCCCTTGTGCTAAGTTCCTGTTGTATCCTACAGGACTAAAGTACTCAAATATAAAGACAGCCATGGCAGACACGATGAGAAGCATCACAAACATCATCACCCAGACAGAAGCACTAAAAGGCTCTGCAGCAAAACAGGAGAAACAGAAACACAGTTCATTAAACCAGTCACAGCACAAGAATTCTAATGTCCTCACCAGGCAAGCCCAGCAGCTTCCTTTACATTAGCTTTTTCCAACAAAAATGCTAGCAAATAACTAAGCCATATATAATGAACTGCTGTTAGTATATATAGACAAAATCCATAAATTCAAAAGCTGAAATGTAAGTCGTAATTAAAAACAAAAGGCTGCACACTTTTCTTTGGCACTGAGTGGCCCATAATTGGTTTGACTTGCTCCTTATTCAGTCCACAATCAGGTTGCTGTGTCTATTCATCCTGAATTATAGAAATTTATCAGCAGAATGGTCCAACCACTGTGACTGTGTTTCTGCAAAGCAAAAGCAATTAAGCATATGTTTAATACATTTGGTAATTCAGAGAAGTAGACTTCTCTCTCATTTTCTATTCAACAAAGTGTTAGAGGAGGAAAGATAAGTAAGTACTTGCATTCAAACTAAACACTTTTGTTTAAGGATTCTTTTCTCTCTGTGTTTACTTTCATCTAACAGCAATGACGATGATATTTTTATCAATTGCAACCACATCATTTTGAATGTCTCATTCTCATCTGGGAGAAAATTACTGAAATCAAAAGGATTTATGGAAAATTGGATGTCAGTTTGAAAGACAGAAGAACCATAATTAAGGAAGTAGGTTGGAGCATAAAAGTAGAAGCAGTTTCAAATATCAGACAAAGCACCAACTTTTAGAAAGGACTCCATATCAATATCAGATACCAATATAAATATCATCTTTCCCAACCACAGATTCTGTCATTTCAGGAGTCCCTGTGGTAGCTGCTTTGGTACAAGGATATCTGTAAGAAAGATTAGCATGGCAAACTAATATCTCTTTATCAGGCCAACTTAATTGGGGCACTTCACATCATAACTTGTGCAAATAAAGCAAGTGTGAGCATGCTCTGAAGTGTGAGAAGACAAATCTTAGTATACTATTTCTAATTAGGACAGAATAAAGAAACAATTGAAATTACAGAAAATTAATGTGTTCAAAAATTTTGCCTGTTTTTGAAATCCCAAGAAGTTTCTCCCTTGTGGCTTTTTCATTCTCTGAATTTAAGATTAGCATCACTGAAACTTCTTCCCTCACTGCAGGAAAGGACAATAAATGAGAGCTGAGATGTTCTAAGCCCAACACCCCAATCTGAGCCTTGCCCAAATTCAGATGATTCACCCAGAATAGAATGAAATGTAGTAATTTGTGCCCAAACATAGAAAACTCATGAGATCTTTTGTCTTTGCTATGATTTCTTCAGAAATCTGTGACTTAGACAAGACCAAATAACAAATAGCCCCACTGGTGCTTTTGCATGGTAACTAAGGCAAAGCAGGGACATTTTAAACCACACTGTTTTCCTTTTGCAAAGGAGCAGTATTTTTTCAATTAATTATTTTATTTTTAAGACAGGGTATGAAGTTTGTTCAAGTACTGTAATTATTTGTTTGGGAGAGAATTTTAAGTTAGGAAAATAACAGAATTTGTAGAAGGCAGAGAAAGATCTATGTAGATGCAGTCAGGGAAGGGACATAATGTAGCCAAATACAGTCTAAAACATTTTCTGAATTCAGTTAGTAACTGGATTAAATTGGAATTCATGTAGAAGTACTATAAAATTTTGACAGCATTCTCACAGAAGAAAGAAAGGCTGATAAAACCCTTATCAAAAGCAACAGTGTAGAAACAGCAATGGCAATTTGTCAAAATCTAAAGAAGGCAAAGGGCAAAACAAGCCAATGTAAAAAAGTGAGCTATAAACAAGAATTTAAGCAGAATTCTCTTTAATAATTTAAGGAGTCTGGTAATGAGGTGGTGAATTAATAGAAGCAATAGGAAAACAAAAAGCTATTTGGGATAGCAAGCAGTAAGATTGAGCAAGTACAAAATCAACTGAATAACAGTCGATCTTCCTGTCATATCAGAGATCCAATTACACATTCAGCACTGTGCTTTGATTCTCAAAGGACAGGAAGGGAACTTCCCTCAGGCAAGCAGCAGGTTTTAAAGGAATTTTCAGTAAAGCTATAATATGGCAGAAAAAAACTAATATATGACTTGTTAGTGTATATTGCAAATGACTGACAACAGAGAATATCAAGCAAGGAAAAGATGTCTTTGAGTCCTGCCTCCCACCACCAAAATCAAACTTAAGGAATTCATTAAATAAAGAGGGGCATAGATTTTCTATTCTATCAATGCCTCCAGAAAAGAAAACTGACCTCACCTATGAACTCTCCCTCTGAAAAATATAGGAATGGAGATATAAGCTTTTTCTTTATTTATTTGGTTGTTTAAATGAAGTTGAACCAAAAATCCACAGAACCATTAAAAAAAGTATTTGTAGGTCTAGTATATATTATCTCTAGTACAACGTGAAAATGTTCTAACATGGATCAAATTCTCATTTGAAGGAGACACATCAGCACCAGAACAGAGCCGATAACGAGGATGAGGCTGTCACAGCCCATCAGTTACTCAGATCTACTGGACACAACAACTGACTGGAAAAATCTAGTCACACAAAATCCTGTGCTTGTCCACATTCATAGAAACAATTCACAAACCCAGATATTTCAGGAACTGTAATCAAGTGCTATTCTTTAAAAATAGTACTATATTTGACAGAGATTTAAAAAATCTTTAAGAAGTCTTACGTAAGGTGACTATTCTCAGACAGTTATTTAATTGAAACAAAATCAGTCTGTGAATAAATTCAGTTATCTGCCTGATAGTATTTTGCAAGGCAAAACATTTTACTACTACGCACACCTCATCAAAATACACAGTCAATTCCAGCAAACTGGCAGCTTCATCTATGCCTGGAAAAAACAGAGCACACTTCTGAGAGCACAGACTTGATTTATTGGTGGAGTAAAATCAGATTTCTTCCAAAGTAGAGCTATTTTAGAGAGCTTTATGAGAAGGAGTTCTTTTTTTGTTTCTTTTGAATTATATACACATCCAACTAAACCAATAACATTAAATGCATTTTAGAAATCTAATAACTCTGTTGCTTGTGAAAAATGCAAAAGCAACTTCTCTTTTGATGGTGGCTGTAAACAGGTTTTTAAGGGAGAAGTAAAAAAATCAACTGCACTTGCACTTCAGAAAACACCCCAATTTTTATTTCCAATGGTCATTTCGACATGCTGCAACTGCAATTTAAAATATTAACTTTACAACTCAATGACTCAAAGAAATAAAAGATACTCTCTGAGTATTCTCATTATAAGTACAGTTTCTTGCAATTTCACTTAAAGTCTTTCATTCATATCAAATATCACCAAAATCTACTTAGGTATCACCACATTCGGGAAATTATTTCATTACTCACCGTGTCATATTTACTTGCATCATCTCTGTAATGTGCTTTTATGGAACAGATATGAGAAATAAGCTCTGTGGTTAAATGACGATTCTTGTGTAAGAAAATTCAATTATTTGCCCACTTGTATCTGATATTACACCACTAATCTACTCCTCACTGTCTGTGAGCAACTTCAGGGGGAGTGGAGAACTTCCACTTAGCAATTTAGGACTGGTCTCACTGCTGACCCAATGGACTTGAAGATTCTAAACTGTGCCCTAAGATACATGGAATATACTGATTATTTATGTTTCTACTTAATGGTTTTAGTGTCACTAGTCCAGTACAAGATATCTTTAAAAATAGTAGGCCCAAGTACATCATGAAGAACACAACAGCATTCTGGGCATTTTTGAACCACCTCATGGCTCTTTCTCTCTTCAGCTTCAGATAAATTCAGGCCAAACATTAACAAAACTATAAATACTAAAGGAGGAGAGGGAAATAATGAAAGGAAAAATGCACAAGCATGCAAGAAAAGAAGCCCAGAATCTTTGTTTATCCCATGTCCTGTCTGCCCAGCCTTTCATTTCTTTGCTCTATCTCCACTGTTCAGATGCATCAATGGGGAAAACACTCAGCTCTCCAGTGCAGTAGTGTGGTGTTCAGAAACCAGAGGTAGCTGTTACCAAGCTAGCTTTAAATTATATCTAAAGATAAGGAAGTTGCTCTTCAACTCTACAATGGATTTTTCAACCATTTTGTGAATATTTAAAAGATATTAAACAAATTATGATGGGCTAAACAAGCATAAGTTAGTATGTAAGGAAGCAGGGTTGGGGATGTAATTTTCCTAACTGAAGGTTTTAGGGGATTCTTTTTCATACTGAAATCACTGTCTTTGGTTTCCACTTTCAGCATCCAAAACCAACGGCACTGTGTCCATGTGTTTAATGGTCATGTTAATCAGCACATCAACACAGCACAAACTTCTTAATGTAAAATTCAAAACTCAACAGAACTGTGTTAATGCACTACATATCTTAACACACAATTAAATCCACCCAACAATGCAGTTATGTTATCTGGACGGGCTGGAGGCCATACCTAGGAAAGCAGATGGTGACACCGTGCCGTTGCTCCGTGACACCATGACGCTGATCCCCGTCTCCACGAACGGCACCGAAAAGTCAACGACTTCCGAGCGCTCCTCGTTGATGGTGAGCGAGCCCACAGCCATCACTGCCCGGTGGTACACCACCTGATCACAGGGACAGCACACACCAGGGTCAGCACAGAACTCCTCCCTCCTCCAAAGAGCTCAGCCAGACATCACCGAGTCCTTAGGAACTCTTTTAGCCAAAAGAGAACTTACTTCACCGATCATTCCGTTCCACACGTTATTGACCTTTTTGCCATGCTTCCCATTCGTCACCAAGTACAGGTCATATGTGAACTTGACAGTTTTAGACAACTTCTTCAAGATATCGATGCAGAATCCTTTGCAGCACTTCTTTACGTTCGTTCCCTCATTAGTTTTGTTGCTGTCAACAGAGAAGACACACATAAATATTCCTGCTGGGAAAAACAGAGGCAGCACAACAGCAAGATACAGCACACTGTGAAACAACATTTTGCCACTCTTGTGAATGACCATGTTTTTCTGAATCAAGGCAAAAATAACCCACAGGATGCTTTTATAGCTATATGGTGTTTGCAGCTCCTGCTAATCATGACAGAGTTGCTTGGTGAGACAGAAACAACATTACCTCACATGACATCCTTCTACTCCAGGATCCAGCCTCACGCTCCGCACTGCTCCATCAAGACATACAGCCTGCTCTTACTAATCTCTCTCTTAGGATTAGATTAAACTTTTATTACTTTCACTCTCAAGACATCAGACTACATGTCATTTAGTAATTAAAGAACATGTAAGCTATAAAAAGGCACAGCAGTTCACTGTGCTGGAAATGGATGCATCTTCTCAAAGTGCACCTTTCCCTGCAGTAGGAGAAGGTGAACTTCAGGCCACCTTTAAGTGCAAGGATGCAAGTTTTCTCTTCATCTTTTTTTTCTGAAATGTTCATTTTGGGACCTCTAGAACCTTTTATTAAATACATTTTCAGAAGGCAAGGCAGTATCTTACAGCCTTTGGAAAAATTAAAAATTAAAATAAAACTAGATTAGAACTTAACTAAAAAAATCAATTTCTCTGGACTTCAGGAAGCATGTGTACAACCATTTAGCAGCCTCTGGAAATCTTCAGAAACATGCATCATATTCCCTCACACCTGATCAGTAAAAATCCTGTTATATTCAGTTCATAAACACACAGATCAAGGCATAGAGCAGGTGAAACACCACTGACAAACGTACACTGATTTCTTCCACTGATTTCTAATGACTGCTCTGAAGTTATGGAGCACTGACAGAAGGGGACTTTTCTGTTGATGGTATTTTATGCTGGAGTAGTTTATTCTATACCAAATTTCAGCATAAACTTACATTTTCATTAGGAGACATTTTGAAATTGTTACAGACTAATGAAAGCAGGCGTATCTCAACATAGCTGGGAACAATTCAAAGAGGACTCATTAAAACAGTCCCATTTTGGAACACAATCTTCTTCCATATGACTGAAATGGGCTGATTCTCATTGACTTTGAATTTACTATAAATTTACTACCTTGTTAATAACTCAATGTGACTTACATGTGTATCACCAGAAACTCTCAACCTTTTAAAAAGGAGGATGTGCAAAGAGCGTGTGGGGAAGGGAAGACGGAAGAGGAAGAGGGAAGAGGACTATATATTTTGCAGACAGGAAAAGAAAAAGGAACATTGCGTATTTACTCACTTAAGTTTGACAAATTTCCGGCATGGCACGGTGTTTTTTTGGCAGCTCTCCATGAGAGGATCCACATCCTCCACGATGACAAAGGGAGCCTCCTCCAGGGTGACGATGCTCAGGTGGTTGTCATCGGGGTCGCTGTCCGCGAAGGAGCTGTACCTCGGCCACACCGAGTACTTGAGGCTCAGGGAGTTGTTCTCCCACTTGCCCACCTGAAAGGCCAAGAGCCACAGGCTGCTGAGAGCTGCTTGATGGTGCTGGACAAAGGGGAGCCAGTATTAAATGGGCTGGGACACAGGTACAGGCAATTACATGGCCAGGACAGTTGGATTGGGGTTTTGTTAAAATTACTTTAAAATTTTATAGCAATTGCATTAAATGAGAAAATGCACAGCGGTAAAGACAAATAAGGTACCATTATTCTAATAGGTAACTGTTTTACACAGACTGGATGTCATCAATTAACACCATCTATCACCTGGTGTTACGTGCACTGCAATTTGACATTCAGCATTTCTATTTGAGAACAGCAATCAGATACTCTATTTGTAACCAGAACCCATTTGAAGTAATAAAAAATTACTTTAAAAAAATCAAACAAACCCCAAAGAACCCCCAAAGAAGAACTCTAATATACACTCACACCTGCACATCTGACCAATAACCAAAATATCACAATGTCATTTCTGTATCTTCCCAAAGAGAAGACTCTTGTGTTCTTATACATTGAAAAGCCATTGTAAAAGCCTTTACCCAGGCTTCCACTGGAGCGAGACCAAACCACATTTTTAGTAAGAATTTCCATTAGAGTAATTTCTCATAACTATTTCATTCTGCCAACAGTTGGGTACTTTTAAGAAAGCAAACCCCACTGCACATGAAATTTTCTAGCTTATTTACTATTATAAAATATCCCTTCTAAATTAACCCACATTTCTTTCCATTTCCAGATCACCAGAAGGAGGTTTATGATTTAAATATTTTTGAGTCTAGTGTTTTCCTCCTCAGATTGTTTAACTACTTTCTATCCAGAAATCTAATTATGATGACAGATAATATAAATGAGCTAGCAATCCACATAATTTATAACCTAATGCATTTTAATAATTCTTGAGCTGCTTAAGCTAAACAAATGACAACATAATCATGAGACTGTTCAAATATTTCTTTTGCAAGGAAAATGGTGTGAATTAACAGTACAATAAGAGACTCAGGCCCTTAAAAAATTAAAATTGTTACCTATGTTCTATCTTCTAAAAACTTAAAAAGTTAATCACAAAAATTCCCAAAGAACATGATTTATATCCATTCCTATTTTGGGAAGCCTATAAGCACATGACCTTTGCAGTTTTCTTTCCATCCTGCTTATAAGTCAAGATGTTTTACTGAACTTTAATGTAGGAGGCAGAAATGTCAAATCTTTACTCACTTAAATTAGGAAATTCAAAGTATCTCAAGGGAAGTAGGAATTCTCACTTAAATCAATGGGAATTATATATATGATTACTATATATTTATATATTTCTAGTGTGAAATTTATCCAAAACACAGTGGACAAAGCCTTCAGGAGCAAAGCTAGTTCAGCCCCAGAGGAGCAATCTGTTGTTTCTATAAAGAAACCAGTTAAATTGTCGAGGTGTGGTGAGCAGTGGCAGTGCCAGCAGCGTGTGCTGCCTTACGTGAGCTTACACGGTGTCGTCACAGCCCTGAGTACAGCACGGAGGTGACCATCTGGAATGGGGAGCATTCCAGCCAGCCCAGGCCCTCAGGCAAACAGCCAACGTGCCAAGGGATGCCAGGCAGTTCAGAAGCAGAAAATGTGCCCGACTGTCTGCCTATTCCACACATCAACAAGGAAATGTGATGGCATTTGTGTGCTCAGGAGTGCAGCAGATCCCAAACCACCAGGGCAGGATGCTGGGAGGAGACAGACACTGATCCCAGGGCATGTTCCTCTGCAGCCACCCCTCCTTATCTTTGGAAGATTGCAGACAAGGAGAGAGAGAATGAACAATTTGGTGTGATAATGAACAATTTGGTGTGATAATGAACAATTTGGTGTGATAATGAACAGTTTGGTGTGTTCCTGGGTGGCAGCCAAAGGCAGACAGAGACCTGCACAGTTACACACTGCTGTACCTCAGAGCCCCCTCCTGCTGCATCCCAAAGAAGCCTCTGAAAAATGTAAGGATGATTAGCACAGTCCTGCTCACACACCTCACGGAGGCCATCAAACCAGAGAAAAAGAGCAAGGCCAGATCCTGTGCAGTGTTGGCACAGAAAGTGAGTGTCACACCAGCATATCTCACCAAAAACAAACCAATGCCTCAGTCCTGTCACCCCCCTCCCAGCGGACGGGGGCTGTACACAGCACACACCCATCATCTCTTTGTTGGAAAAAACGTTACATGACAACAATGATGCTAAATGCACTCCCAGGACTACCCAGCCAAACCTTTCAAAAGAGAAAGATTTTCAGGGGAGCTCCTTTTACATTTAACACACATACATTGCACAACATACTTTTTGAGCTGTCTCAGTTAAGAAAATAGTGCTGAGCAAATAAAAAATCTAGCCCATCTTGCTTTATTGAAAAACTATTTACTACTATTTTTTCATTAAGCTTTCCCACTTAAAAGGAAGAGCTACTATGGCAAGCTTTAAATCAATCACTAAAAAGCTAAAATAGACTTTGTCAGGTTAGCAATAACAGCTGCAGAGCAAAGCACAAGAGCAAAACCCTTCCTCCAGACACAGCATCTGCTGTGCACCACCTGCTGCAAACCTCTGTGTCACTTTTATGCTTCTGAAGGTCCATATTTCACAATGGCACTCTAAATTTAAATGACAAAATATGATGTGAGCAGTTCCATGTCTTATTAATAAGAAGTGTTTTAGAGTCCTGAATGGTTTGAAGACGTCCATTCAAAGACTTTGAAGTTTCCAAAATTTGCTGCAAAATCTCACATGGGGAATGCAAATGTCCTGCTCTTTCCTCATGGCTGCTGCTGACACCATCAGGAAGGCACCAGTCCTGCGACCAGCAGGGCTCCAAGGAAAACACAGGATCCAGGGAGATTATAAACAAACAGGAGAAAGAAAAGCTGCCACCTCCTGCAGCCTCATTTTTCAATACAGAATTATTAATCAGCACTCACCAAATCCTCAGTGGCTGGTACAGTTTTGGTTCTGGGCAATGTCCCAGATAATTCTGTGCAGTGCCAGAGTTCAGGCTCATACCAGAGAAGCCATTTTAGGAGCTGATTATGTCATTAGAAAGGAAGAGAGCTAAACAAATTGACAGCTCCTTCTTCCATCTCCCAGTGGGGGAAGATTTTTTGTCACCTCTGCACTCACTGAAGACCTTACAGCTCCCCAGAAATGCCCAGACAGACATACCCCTACCTTCAGAGAGGGAGAGCTGCCCTCAGAGTCTTCCTGTTCTCTAATATATAGGTGGAAAGAACAGGGGCAAAGCACACCACCTTTGCTTTCCATGGGAGTTATAATTCCTTTATAGCAGCAAAGAGGTGGGATCCTCCTTGGGAATACATGATTTAAGAAATGCTGCATAATAGTTGGTGCAATTCAAACAATTCAGCAGAGTAAAGGTCAAAGGAAAGGCCTTTAGGCTAGGCAAAAGCTCACTGATACAGAAACAACATGCAATTTTCAGCTGACAGTAAGTGTCAGGATAGGCATATTTACAGGAAGGCTAAATACACAAAAGGACAAGGATGGAATACAGGGAATGACGACCCACCAGATGTTAAAGAACACACTGCCGCTTCTGCTGTGGGCAAAAAGAATATATCACATTACAGCACAGAGCTACTGACAAAAGATACCCCAGCAAACAGATTACTAGCTCAGGCAATTTCATCTGTTCTAGTTAAAATATCTGTATTTCTCACCAGTGTTAGGGAACATCTATCATGAGACATGAGGATCCCTCAGCTGTCGTGACCCTTGCTCAAATCAATCAAGATTTCACAAGAAATTACCATGGAGCACCTCACTGATTTTTTTACCCCCACAGTACTCTGACAAAAAGCTCTGTCAGAAATCTGCCTGAGACTGGGTTGGGTTTCTCAGCTCCAGGAGCTGTCTGTTCTGGGCTGCATGGCAGTGGATGTTGGTAGCCAGATGGAGCTCTCCGTGAAGACCTTGGTTCATTTATTCCAGGCAGGAACCATGCACCCTCTGCCCACTCCTTCCTACTTAGATACAAATGTGTACAACCCCACACAGAGCTTGTAAACCTGGCATATGCTACTTAATCAGAGAGAAATCCAGTTCTGCATTAAATCCTGCATTAGTGGAAAGTTAAAGATGACAGGCTCTGCTTAGAATAAACCTGGATGTAAAGGAACAGTTCTTGCAGTGGTGTTTCATTAGCAATTGTGCCATGTAGTACACAAATTCACCCAGAATACAGACCACCATGATAATTTTATCTGCATCTACCTGGAGCACCAGTAAAAATTGCTTTTACCCTGGAACTCATCTTTACACATGGGACACACTCATCTTGCAGTCTTCCTCACCTCACTTAAGTGATGTGATACACACTGCTAATTAAACTGCCTACTTTTGCCACTGCTAATCCTATTCTAGCATATGATTTTAATATTGGATTGACTGGATTTCCACATTAAAAAATATACTAAAAAAAAAGGAAAAAGCCAGACTTGCAGACTGTGAAGTTCAGTGAAGTTGATGGGCCAGGTGAGGCACGCAGGTCCCACCTCTCTGAGGGAACATGAACAGGGGAGCTGCAGCTGGGGCTGCTGAAGCTCTGAGGGTTGTTGAGCCCTAGCACAGTGATCCTGCAGTGCTTTAGTGATATTTGGGCAACACTGCTAACTCTGGTATTTTATTGAAATTTTGAAATTTATATGAATGAATATATGAAAAATATATGAAATTTTATCAAGTTTCAGTTTAACAAGCACATTAAGCTTGTCTTCTTAAAAATCCCTTGCCTGAGAACAGCATCCCCTTTGCCTGTCAAGAATATGAATGTTGGTGTCAGAAGTTTGAGTAGCTGCTTTAGGATCTGTCAAAATATCTTGCTGGATGCCTGTGAAACATGCCCAAAAAGTGATTTTCAGTCTTCAAACTATTATCGTTCAAACAGCTTTCTTCAGCATCTGATATGGGACAAACCCCTCAGTCAACCCCTCTTACATGTGAAGTTACCATCTCAAAGTTTCAATACTGAGTAAAGAAAAAATAACTTATTTTCTGAGGGGTGTGATAAATGTTCTCCAGCTATGGTTGAACAGCTTCTCTATAACCTTAAGCTTTAAGTGAAGTATATCAATTCTAAAACCAAAGAAAAATTGTATTTGAATAAAAGCAGTTTAAAAACAAAGAAAAATTGGTTTTAAAAATAAATCTTGAATTTTTAGGAGGATACCAGGTAAAAAATTCTTCACATAAGACACAATTATTCTTTCTACATAAATAATAAATTAGCTACTTGCAGCACGCACATTAGTTACATTATGAGGATTTACAGGCTGTTGCACTGTAATTTTTTCACATGAGTAAATTATTTAATTAGATACTAAGACTTGATTTTTCCATATAGTATTGAGGATATTTAATAAGACTTCAATAAAACCATTCTGTGATACTCCCTGCTACGCTGTAAGAGAAAGGAGAAGCAAGTGCCTGTCTGGAAACTCAGAGCAGCAAATGTTAGATCTCAGATGAGTAACTTTGACAGTTTTGAAATTGAGCAAAACAGCTCAAGGAGAAAGGAACAAGAGGAAAAAAATGGCCTAAGAGATATGGGGGTAAAACCTGCAACTTGGGGAGAACATTGAGACAGCACTAGAGAGCTGCTCAAATAAACCATGTGGAAGAGAAGGGCCTCCCCAGTCTCTCAGTCAGTGGAGCTGAAGTGCACAGGGACACTCTGCTGCAAAGATGTGGGGTGTGCCCAGACAGCCCAGAGCTACATCCAGCGTGCCAGGATAATTGATTAGTCACTTTATTTGTCCTCATCCACAGAGGCAGGATCAGCCTGTGGTCAGGAGAATCATTCTGGTGGTGACAGAGCATTCTTGGCCACCTCTCACGTCTCCCCTCTGACAGAATTCCTAATTGAAGCTGGCCCCTCTCCACAGCCCTTCTGGAGCAGCCACCAGAGCTGCCCTGCCCTCACTCTTCTCCTCACTGGCCACCAGCAGGGCTCCAAACCAGGGCCACACACCAGCACTTATATCTGCTTTTGTTCCTCCTCCTAAAAACCCCTCAAACCTGGCAAAGAGCAGGAAGGGATTCAGCAGCTGGGAACCTGCACAGCCAAGGCAAGGATCAGCCTCCAGGGAGCCCAGCACTGCAGGGGAGCGGCCACTCTGCCCTACAACCATGGCAGGCACAGCACAGCCCAGCCCAAACCTCATCCCCTCACAGGGGCTCGCTGGGAGGTTAAAACAGGCTCGAGTTCCAGTTCAACTGGAAGGTTAAAACAGGCTCAAGTTATTTCTTGGAATAGTGTTCATTCACATATCCAGTATTTCTGTGCTGCTGTTAAATTATTTTCCAAAAAAATCAAACCCATCTCTCCTTGTCCTTTGAATGGTCTCTTTAGAGAAGTTTCAAGGTACAAAATGTATGAAATTATTTTAACATAAGCATTGTTGGCTTCCTCTTTGAGCATTTTCTTCCTTTGGCACCTCATGCTAATAATATTCCCCAAGCAGTGTAATATTTTTCCAGAACATTATATATGATATGCAGACTGTTGAAGAATTTTAAAATAGGGTAAGAAATTTTCATAACAGTTAGTGAGCAAATGATTCCTCCAAAGATTCAGATTGACACATTTGGAGAGGATTAAATTTATCCAGAGAATTAAATTTGCATCAAATGAACATAAAGAAATATACAGCATAATCTAGGACTACTCTCTGTGTTTCTGCATGACTAGCATATTTATTGAGATGTCCTTCAGTAATTCTGATTTTGTCATTATTATTCATCATTATGAAAAGTCTTGTAGTCTTATAAACTGGAGTTTTAAGTTGATTCAATGGGTTTTTAAAACTATAACAAAAAGAATTCATAAATTTCAGCAACAATTTAGATAATGCAGAATCACGTTTCAGGAATTTAAAATAAAACTGGTGGATGATTTAGATGTATGTTTTCCTACAGTCTTATATTAAAACAGTTTCTCAAAACAAGTTTTTAAATATAGGGACACAGCCTGCAAAACTCAGAGCCAAAACAATCGCAGGCTGAGACTGGAGTTTAAAAGAAATGATGCTTGTGATAAACTTTTTCATTTACCACTTGCATATATGATTAACATTGATGCCATGACATTTTTCCTTCTTGTCTATATAGAACTCTATATGGAGATCACTTGTCTACCTGGACTAGTCAAGATTCTGAATTTTTTAGGCAAACATTGATAGGGTTATTTTCCAATTCAACATGAACTTCACAGTTGGGATTTTTTTAAGTGTGTTTTTACTTAAAAGTAAAAAGCACACTTTTTTTTTTTTACTATAAAATCTGTCCAAAAAAACACAAAATCAAGCAAATAAAGGGAATGGAATTGTCAAGATATAAAAATCCATCCAAATTGAAGTAGCTGAGGACCAAGCTTTTGGACATTTTTCAGTTATCCATTTTACATTACTAAATTTTAAGAAGAACTGGAGATGCAAGGTGTGTTTCATAGAAATCTGAACTCCACGTGGCTCTTCTTCACCGATCTGTCAGAACTCATCAGATACACTCAGGATGGTGTAAAATTTTCCCTTCTGAGTGCTGTGCCACTGCTGCTGGAGCAGGACCCCCGCGATGTGACGCGAATCCCCCCAGTCCCGGAGCCGCGCTCACCTTCTCCCACTCCCGCTCGTTGTTCAGCACGATCACCACCAGCCTGGGGTGGGCCTGGTACCCGTCTGCTGTGAAGGACAAATCTCTGCCTTCCCACGTCACATTCATCATGAACCTGCAAGGCAAGGAAGAAAAGTTCATTGGAAAATGAATGGGCTGTCTGTCTAAGGAGCAGCAAGTGCAGTCACCAGCAGCGCTGCTGAGATCCATGCACCGAGCCCTGCCAGTGCTGTGGGAAGCCTGTGCTTGCAGTGTGAGGACTCAGGGCATTTCAAGGCAGTTCACAGCTCAAGACAAAGAAAAATATTGTTGATGTGTGAATTATAATGCAGACATCATTTTTAACAGCGTCCACGTTACATATGATTAATCTGTCCCCTCCCTGAATAATCTTTCTGGCACTTTGCACAACCTCACCAACTTTTCAGAAGCATTTTAAACAAACCCACATGACCTCTGTGGGTAACATTGCACTATTGTGTCACTGAGTAATACTCAGAGCAAAGTGCATCCAATCTGTCTTCCCCCGTTCAGACCTCCAGGAGTCCTGTCAGCTCCTCCCAAAACTGGAGCTACACACAGTGGTGTTGTGCATGAGGATAAATTCCACTAATGCCAAAACCACCCATGAAAGCTTTGAAGGTGTTCGTAAATATTCAGTTCAGTAATTTCAAAAGAAAAAGTATTTATGTTTTTATTCTGCTTTTTATTTAGCTTCATTTTCAATGGTTTTCAAAGGACATATGAATTAATTAGCATTTTGAATAGGGAAAAGATAGAAGGACACAAAATAAAATATAAAAGAATGAAAAAAAATTTAAATTTTGTTGAAAAAATCAAAACTCCACATTGTTAGTGTGAAGATGACAGGGCTATCCCCACAGTAAGAGGTAAAACTGCAATTCAAAAACTTGGGAAGAAAATATGTCCCCCAGCCCATCTCTGTGGTCTGAAGTTGAATTGGTCTGAATTGTTAGTGTATTTAATTGAAAGAAATTCAGTGGAATACTGATGCAGACAGAAGTGCAGATGTCCATCCTATAGAGAGATGTGTTCTGAAGGGCAGAAATTCACTGTTCTTCATACATTACCTGTAGTGATTTCCCCATTTCAGACACCAATACTGTTTTATATGTTTGTATGAGTTTGGAGAGAATTTTTGGGTCAGTTAGTTGGTTGTTATGGCTGGCTTTTTTAGCAGTAGTGGCAGCATAATCTCCTGGGGAATGTGACACAGACAAAATTCCCCAGCTCCAGATTCAAAGGAGAAGGCTTTGTATTGACATAGCTCCCTGAAAATCCCAGTAGCAGAAGCACACTAAATAAACATATATAGACCCAGAAGAAATAATGGCATTGTATCATAATAGTTAATAAATAAATGTGCACCTGGACAGCTATACTAACATCATTCAGCACCAGTTTGACAGCAGTTTGTAAATTCACCCATTATAACTCACATTTCATTACAGACTTCCAGTGTCAAAATTTTCCCCTTGACAGAACTTTGCTGTCCAGTTGAACTAATTTCCTATATATTCCATTTTTCGTCCAACAGTGAAAGATCTTGCTTGGGAACAAAAAGCTTGTCTGCCACCTTGAGAGGCAGCAAACACCAAACAGGATTTACTTGTGCTCAGGTGTAAGGAACCAGCACAGCATTCACTGTGACCCAGGGAGCGAAATGCCCGGGCAGCGAGCACAAGAGGAAATCAAGGATGTGCTGTGAAAACAGGCAATACTTGCATTTACAGCACCCTGTCCCAGTTCACACCCATGAGGTAACATCCCTCACAATGAATAAATCAGCCCCCTCGTTCCACTGGAGCTGAAAGCCAAGCAGTGTCCCCTGCCAAGGGACCCCAGACACACACACACTGCACTCCATCAGGCTTTTGTGCTCACCTGGGCTTTTAACCATGCTGAAAATGGTGACTGGACTGGAGGTTGAACCCTTCCTCAGTAGGGATCACCTGATTTCAAACACTACTCATCATATTTTGGGTTCAATATTCAAATGTCCTAGCCTGGAAGTTAAGCAAGGGCCATCACAAGATGCAGTGCTGAAGCTCAAGTGTTCCAAAAAGACTAATATGAACCACAACACCAAAGTGAAAAATTGAACTCAGTGTATATTTTAAATCACATGAATTTACCAGCCATTAAGTAAAGAAACATATATTGCAAGGCTTTTGGTTGTTTTTTTTTAAATTCCCTAATCTGAAAAGTCTCTTAAAATTGTATTCTCTGATCCTGATACAAAGGTGTGAGTGACGCACTCTGAGCTACCCCAGATTCTCACACTGCAGCAATAAAAAGAACTTCAAAGAGATTCTTGTTTCCCCAAGCACATTCTTCTGTACAAAATTCATCAGCTGCTGTGTTCTCCAGAAATCAATGCCTACAACCTACACTTGCTTTTGGATTGTCATTTTTCCTCTGCAAAGGACAGGAGTCCTGCTCTGCTTTTACTGGCCACGATCCCAAACTGCTTTTCCTACAAAAAAATGCCCAGTGTTGGTCTGCTCCTAGTTAGGAATAATGCTGTGAAGAATTTATATTATGTTACTCTTCTAGAGTTTTAAGTTTATCCAAAGTTAATTCTGTGCAAGAGGTCTTTGGCTTCTGAATTGGATAAAATATTTTTCTGAAGTAGCTTTGGAAATGCAAATTCCTGTTTCTTAACTAATGAGGTGTTTAGTTATTTGAACTCCTTACTTTGATGGGGCAATTAGCAACATACCTTGGATTTGTAGTTAATCTGTTTTCATTCCTCATTAAAGCTACAGCCTTTGCAAAGGCACGCTAGCACAAGACCTTGTGATGGTATTATGACACTGAAGTCTTAATTAACTTTTGCAAACTGAAATTTGTAAGATTCCCCAGGTGATACAAAATGGCACTTTTTTTCTGACAGAAGTTAAGCTAGTCCCGCATTGAATCCAAAACAGGGTTTTTATCATGCAAAGAACCAAACCTTAACTATGTATTTAAAAACACTTTTAAACGTTTATACAATTCTTTTTTGCTTGTCACCTTCCCCAAAAAACTGAGAAGTGTTGGAACACCACAGCAGAACACTTTTGCTGTCATATTCACAAGCAAGCCTTTGAAGCACCCAGGTTACAAACTTCTCTAAAGGTTTCCAACTTTATAAGCCTCAGAAAGATCAAGTAGTTCACACAGAGCTCCAGATTAATGCAAAAACTGCAATATTTATCCATGTCTAAATCCTAACTTTACCCAGAAAGCCAGAACATACTGAAAAAGTTCAGTTTTCTTACCCTGTAACTACAGTATCACAACTTAATTGACTCCAATTCAATTAACAAATGGATGAAGACTTTGCCAAAGGGATCAGGGCTCAGTTTGCAGAGCACCATTTGCTTGGATCCAATACTGCTGACACAGAGGCACCTTTCTGGCCAGACTCCTCACAGCAGACATGGACTTCCTCATCCATGAATGTTTGTTTAGGATTTCCTATACTGGATGAGAACAGTTGAAATCCTGGAGCAGAATCTTTGAGGTTTTCTACTTCTATGGTAGAAAAAGCAAACATGTTTGCAGGCTATGGCATTTCTTTTGAGCTTTACCATATATATGTCTATTCAAGAAACACAAGTGTTCTCCCAACACATCCAAGGATTTGAGAGCAAAACCAAGGCTTAGTGGATTCTGTGTTGGGCATTATTTTAAGGAAAAAAACCATAACTTCATGTAAACTATTAAGGTCACTTTGTTCCAAACACAGATCAACCCTAGCCCTGGTTTCAAAAACCTCTCAGAGTGACCTGAGAAAGCCACCAAGGACAGAATGGAAGCACAGCAAAGCAATCCCATGACACAGAAGCAGGTGCAAGACCACCTGTGGAGCCTCAGCACCCTCCAGATGCTCTCTCTGGGTGCCAGGGAGGAGCATCCTCAGCAGGGACCCTCTCCTGCCCACCCACCTGTGTCCCAAAAACCCCCCAGGACTGGCCAGGCTCAGGAGCACCATCAGCTCTGCAGTAAGAGGGTTGTTTATAATTAGTGTGAAATTCACCTAGAATGCAGCTCCCAAACACACCAGCAGCTGGGAAAAATAGAATGGGGAAGGCAGAGGCATTAATGAAAATGTGTCACCTCTAAGCCACCTTCTGAGGAGAGAGCTTAGTCCCCAGACCTGTAAAACAAAGCACAGGGCCTGAGAGCTGCAGGGAGCAGACAGACCAGGGGACTCCTGTCTGCCTTGAGCTCAGAGCTGCATTTCCTGCCCTCAGATGAGATAATCACACTTGATAAACTCCCCAGGTGCCATCATCAGGGACTATCATTTTTATTTAATGTCTTCTTCACCATGGGGCAGAATTTCAAATCTCTGAGAACTGCAGGCAATGAACAGAAGCTGGAGAGGCTTGGGGAAATACATCTTGCATTAAGAGAAACTCTCCCTCTTCTCTCTCAAAGAAGGAATTTCCAAACTGAGATTTAAAGCAGATTAAATGCCTCAAAACCAACATGCTCTCTGGTGATATTTCTCTTTCCTGCAAAGAGTGTAAACCCAACCATTTTAATAACCTAGACAGCCAGCTGATCTGGGCTTGGCATTCACTCAGCCTCATACCTAAAAAAGCATGAGTGGATGCAAATTTTGTCTTTTCTTCTCTATCTTGTTGAGGCTCTGAACTGCTGAACTTCCTTGCTATGATTCAACCATGACATTTGAATGATACTTATCAGTAGAAACCCCCAAGACACATTTTTTATCATTAAGAAACAGACTTCCTCTGTAAAATTAAACCAAAAAATTACTTAATGTAGAATATATAATGTGTGAAGTACATATAGAAATACATCTGCAATAGAACCCTATTAAACAAGGTACTGATGCATTTTTTTAAATCAATTCTATATTCTATACTATGTAGGATTTTTTTTTCTAAATTCAAATCTTTTGCAGTGATGCAGAGTCACTTCTTCCTCTTTGTGCATCCTCCTCCTCCCTCTCCCAGCCCTTGCTCTTCCACAAGGGTCCCTTGCTTTGGAGCTGTGTCTCCCTAGGCCTGGAGACAGCAGGATGAGTAAAGGTTTGGGAGGGATCTGCTCAGTGAGGGTGCAAAAGGAACAGCACGC